AGAGCGGTTGTTCCCAGGACCATACGGCTAAAAAAAAAACAGCACACATACATCACCACTTTGTGATGTCAAGTTTATGACTATTTGGCAAAGTTGTTCATAATTCGTCAAAAATTGCTTGTATTTCTCAGTGAGATAAGTTGTAAGTTGTTCATAATTCATCGTGTGTTATTCATAATTCATCGATAGTTGCTCGTGTTTTTTGGTGAGATGAACTGTGTGTTACTATAAAGCCACGAACTCCTTAAATTAGATACTCGATACTAATTGAGAGTTCCCAATGGTTGAGACACTACGGGTCGCCCACAAGTTTTTAGCCATAGTGTTGGAGAGCTTGTACACCCAATTTTTATTGTGTCCACTAGACTATCCTATCTCCATCTACAAATCTAGATCAAAATTCAGATGGGTCGAAGGATCATCTATATATCTTTCCCTCAACCAACTATTATAGGTATCCTAAAAATAAAAAAAAATCATTATATTCAATTCAATAAAATAAATAATTTACAAAATAAAATGGTTGAACGAACATACCATAAATTGTTAAGTGTGGTTGTTAATAAACTATAGCACCCTCTTTTGGCGTTCTTGACTTTGCACATGCATCGCAACAAACAACTTCATTGGGCTTGACTCACGTCTAAAAGATGTAACTTATAAGGGAAAAAATTAATTAAGTAACAAAAAACTATTTAATGATATATTTATTTAAATTAATCTTACCATCTGTTTCACACGTACAGCAAACAGAACGGAATTGCCACTGAACCATGAATTGGTCGGTTTCAGTTGCTAGCATCAGGCTGTGAGTATCGTGTGAACTGCACAGACATTACGTGCACAATATATTGCGGCCATATATCTATCGGCATGTATAACGATTTGAAATCCCTCCAAGCTACCACGTCGTTCCAGCCTTAGAAACCGTTATCTCTCATTTTTTTGCTTTTTTTTTTTGTTCTTCATACCAAAAATGACACAACGTACTTCCATAATGAGAAATTAGATTTTAAAACATAATTTTTTTAAAAAATATTATATATTTTTTTATGTTACCTAGTTGCCGCGTGATTTTTCCACACTCTCCTTACAACAGTGTCATTCACATTGTCCCAGGTGAATTTGTCATATGTATAAATAATTAATTTTAAATAAAAATAATAATTTATTTACTTAAAAATATGCTATAAATCAGAAATTAACACCAACCTCAAATCCATGTATCGATTTGAGGTATCTATTTAGTATGTCTGGATACCTAACTCCATTGAAATAATAGAATCTTCATCGACGATTTAAACACTGATGATATTACTCGGGCGACCTTAATGTTTGTGAACTTCAAAATAAATTAAATTAATAAAATATTTATTAGTTGCTCATAAATTATGTTATAATTAAAAAAAACTAAAATCAAAATAAACTTACATTGAAAGGTTGTCCTTCCAGTGTGCCTTGTACTTACAGGTGAATTGATTTTGTTGTAAAGGCACTCCGTCTCTGCGCTGTAAAATCATACTGGAAGAGGCAGTATCGATAGATGGTGCAAGTGCCTCTTCTTAATAGGAACCTAAGGATATGTCATCCTCGCTGCTAGAAGAACTAGTTGCGATTCTATGTGAGTAATGAGTTGTTGATTTCGTTCTACGCATCTACACAATTTTATACGAATAATTATATAATTAAATTTGATTGTTAAAAAAAAATTCTGCAGCACCTCCCCTATACTAGGCTGTTAATTAAATTTTATACTAGAGACTACCCAAAGTTTCAAACCTGCAAATATTGACAATAGTCACAACCAATGGATCCCATTCAAAAATCTTGTATATAACCTAACATCTATACAAATAACAATTAAAATGAATGGAAATAATTAAACACATATCATGCAATAATAGAGTAAAATTGAGAGAAAATAATTAAATTTATTCCTACATATTCAATTACTAATTACAAGGTAAATTCAACAATAACAATTAAAATTCAACAAAGTATTTAATTATTATGGAAACACAAACAATAAAATATATTAATAATTTTTTTAAAAAAAACTATAGACTTTATGCATGAAAAATGCTTACCTTAATAATGTGTTTATTTCAAGACTTTATCTACATTATAAAAATACACCAAAACAAAAAAAAATAACAAAAATAACAATAGCTAAAACAAAGAAAAAAAATCTTAAAGTAAAATACATACATTTTGATTTCATGAAGATTCAAGTCAAAATTACAAGCTAAACAAACAAAAGATTTGAAGGAAATAAGGAGAGAAAAAATGAAATGAGAGCTCTGAAATAAAGGACATGAAGAAATGAACTGAAGAGTCAGTTGCTAAGATTTATAGCACAGTTTTACTGACGGAATTGCCTACGGCCCATTTAAATAATATTATTTTTAATTATTCCATTGATGATCTTTCAAAAATCTTTTGGTAAATTTTGAATTTCACACTAGAATTTTTAATTACCTTTCATATTTTTTACAATCTGTAGGTAATTCTGTTAGCAACTGCATGCAGTCAAAGATATTTTTAATACCCCGCCTTTTGGAATTCACATCATCCTTCAGTGATTATGAATTACCGATAAATACCAATGGACTGTATCCGTCTGCACAATCATCAGTGATTGTGCTATTTCCACCACTCTTTATGAAATGCTGATGGACAGAATCCATCCGCAAAGTTGTTAGTGATCATGGCATTTGCAGTGAAGCTCTCTGTGAAATGTCAATAGACTTAATATGTCGGTATTGACATTGGTGATAGTACACTATCCAAGAAAGATTATGTTTATATTGCCTATTTAACATCCTGCAAACATTTAATTTACAAACTACCCATCGCACAAAACAATAACAACAGTTAACACTTATAAAATAAATATTTTATGTTACAGAATATCATCCATAATATATATTACATAAAAAAAATATTTTACACATTGCTTCATTCTGATGGTTAGTCAGAATTTTCTTCTTCTACATCATCAATTGAATAGTCATCACTTTTATTGCAATCTTTAATATGGATATCATCATCATCATCTTTATCAATATTTGCTTATCCACTGGAGCTTAAAACAACATTCAACTCCTCAGCGTCAACATCAACAAGACTATCATCAAAAACATGAAAATTTAAATTTTCTTCTAAGTCAATTGAAGGAGCAACTAGATATGGTTCAACCAACTCACTAATTTGAAAAACTTCATCTTGCACACTTGTGTCTTTGTTCTCATCTTGAACAGCCTCGACACAACTCCTGGGTTTTATTTTTAAAACGGATAACCAATTAACTCTTGATCGATGTTTTCTAAAGAAAGAAGTGTATGTGTAATAAACTTGTTGGCATTGCTTTGCGAAAACAAAGACATTGTTTACGTTATAGAGTCTAGCTTTTGAGTTGATTTCGATCAGGTCATAGTGAGGATCAACTCTAATTCCTCTATCATTATTATACCAATAGCATTTGAATAAAAACACTCTATTCTGCTCGCTATGATAGCATCTCAACGACCTCTTCTAATTTACCATAGTAGTCAGCTTTTAACTCACAACTAATTAATCCCTTAACACAAACACCGATGTTATATGTCTTTTTTATATGCTCGTATTCTTCAATATAGAACACATATCCATTAATAAAATACATATTATAGCGTTTAACTTTTCTTTCAAGGCTCAAGCTTAGTGGAGATAATGACTTAGCAGTACTCATTTCCATTTGATAAACCTCATATGTAATGTACAACAATAAACAATTAATGAGAATTTCATAATGACATAAAATAACTTTGCAAGAGATAATAGGTTTGTAATAGTACTTACATGTATTCTGAACCACGTGACAAATTGTTCATCTTGTAATTGAAAGATTTAGGATTTGATCAGCTTTGAGTTATTGAACAACAAATATTGTCAATGTTGCCTGCAAAGTTGTTCCAAATTATATGAGTTTATGATATTATAATATATAAATAATACATTATTAACAAAGTTAGGGCACATGTTAATTTTCTAGTATCCTAAATCGAGGGGATTCATCATGGACTTTAAAGCATAGAAGTTCTCTTCCAACTTGTTCCTTTCAAGTAAAATACTTCTTACCAATTTAATAATTTTATCATACTCGGCCTTACTTAACCCGTGATCTGACTTGATGGTAAACACCTGTGTTACGGCTGATAATTTATTATGTTTCATGCAACCATCTCATAATGGTTCGTTAGAATCTTTCAACAAATCAAAAAAACATAGCTACATCTTTATTAGGTTTTTCTTTTATGATTGGACATTGACTGACATTACCTTGATTAATTCTTATTATATTTATCACGATATTCTTGTAACGATTACTGCTGTCATTTGCAACTCCATGTGCGTTGCTAACACTAGAAGTTGACTCAACTACTTTTTCTCCCATGCTCTTATTACAAACAAATACTTCTCCATATCAACACCAACATTGGTAATTCTTCATAAACTTTTTATATAAAAGATGCATCATTACAACATCAGGATGTAAATACTTTTTATTTTGATACTTTCTGCATGGACATCTAATACCGCCTCCAGTAAAATTTCAAGGAATAAATATTGTGAAATTAATAAAACCCTGAACCCCATTACACAATCCATCATTTGCAATCCTTGGGGTGAATCTCGATATATTTATGAATGATCATCCATGACTTCGGTCAAACATCTATAAAATTATAATAACAACATATATTAATTAACTATGTTAAGTAAATAAATTTATAAAAATATTATTTTACCTCGAGATTATCCAACAATCTAATTACAACTTCTTATAAATATTAAATATTTATTATTAATTATCAATGTCCATATAAATTTATACATATAAATTTACAAAAATTACAACTCCTCAATAGCATTGATAAAAATTAAAATAGACCCGTTAAACAAACTATTAATTATTTCATTACAACACATGTAATTTGGTAGTTCAATAAATTTTCAACAATTTATAAACAAATATAATTTTATAAAATTTAAAACAAACCATAACAAATACAAAATTATACATTCATATACTACAAGTTTGTTTGAGAAATAACATTAAGACATGTACATGTACTAGAAAAATACATATACTAAAAAAAAACAATAAAATTGACATTTAAATATTAAAATTAAAAAAATAGATTTACTTACAAAAAATAATAAAATTTACAATAAATCAAAACACGGATGTTGTGACCACAAAACTTAAATAAATATGACTTATGCTGAGAAGAGGAATATTTATTTTTGGAGGGCTAGTTATTTGCGCTTTGGAAGGAGAGAGTTGGAATGGGAAAGAAGAAGGAGAAATAGAGAGGAGAGGGTTGGCGGAACGCTGATATATTCACTCTTTTCTCTGATGGAATCACCAATGGACTACTTTTATTAGTAACTCCATCGGCAAGTCTGACGGTAAATTGGTCAAGTTATTGTACGGAGATCTCATTTTGAATTTCTCGGTAAAATTTCCTGCAAAAACTGCAAAACACCTTTTTTTAAAAAAATTCAATATATTCCATCTATAATTCTGTCTGTATATACCGACAGATAATTCCATCAGTATATATAAATGAAAAAGTGTCCATCATTAATTGTTATCACAAATTGTCGACAGAATTATTTCGCTAGTAATTTTACTTGTTTTAACAAATTTCTAGTAGTGATCTCACATCAACTTAATAAAAAATAATTAAATTAAGAATATAAAAGGTTAAATGATGAAATAATTAAAGGAAAAGAACAGGAAAATAATATGAATATCTATTTGCAACACACCCTAGATTGTGTATTTTTTCTGTGTTGTATTTTCATTGTTCTTTTTAATATTTTCATCATCTTGCGTATATTCATGATTTCATAAACTATAGTTTTTCTGTGTTATATTTTCATTGTTCTTTTTAATATTTTCATCATCTTGCATATATTCATGATTTCATAAACTATATTTCATGGTTCACGAAGCATTAAATTTGCAAAAACAATTGTTGAGATTTATTAAATGAAAAGAAAAAAGATCTAATAAAAAAAGATGTTGATGAAAAAAAAATTAAGATTTGTTAAATGAAAAGCAAAATGATTGAATAAAAAAAAACACAATTAAAAAAAAGTAGACCAAACAAAAAGAAAGGAATTAAAACTCATGTTATAATAGTTAAAAGGGAAGCGAAAAAAAAAACCCCAATCAATAAAAAAAAAGAATAGAATACAAATGTTTTATTTTTATTGATAATTGATAATAATTGTTAGAGATGTGTTAAAGAACATGTAACTTTATGGGTAACCAACAAAGCAAAATTTAAAAAATAAAAATAAAAAATTGAGGCAAGGCCATCCATTGACTTCCAGTTTTGTACAAGTTCTTGGACATGTTACCATCATATGATGGAAATGGGAGGTACGTATGGACAAGCATGGAGTTCTTGGAAGCATTTATACAAAATTGTGTCTCTGTTAGTTGCTCTTTCATGTCAAAAGGACTGGATAATCGATAACACATTCAGCTTTTTACTTTATTGCTTTGAATTTTCTTGGTCTAGCATAGTGTTTAATTTTATGAGCTTTGAGTTTTTCCAATGGGATTTTAACCCACTCAAGAAATTCCCTGATTTTATTTCTTTTTTTTTTTTTTCATGGCAGGGATTGGCTTCATGGGTGTGCTTCCTCTTTCTGAGAATTGGTTTCTAGGGTGTGTTTATTAATATGATTTAATTTATTTTTTACTTGAAAAGAGATCAAATTAATATTTTTTATGTGTTCTTTGATGGTTTTTTATGTGCTCTTTTTAAGAATTGGTTTTAGTGTGTGTTTGTTAATATGATTTAATTTATTTTTTAAAATTACTTTTTATTTAAAAAAAATCAAATTAATATTTTTTATGTGTTCTTTAATGGTTTTAATACACTGATATTAAAAATAAAAAAAATATTATTTTAATATATGTTCAATTAGAAAATACTTTTAAAAAATATATTTAATTGTATCATCATATACAAACTAATATTTTCCATGTCAAAATGATGTGGAATGAAATCCATTTAAGTATCTCTAGTTCCAATATAGATGCCCTGTATTTTTAGTACACTCCATAAATTCAATTGGGTTAATTATTTTAGGATAACATTTGATGCAGGGAAAAGCACAAAATACTCCTCTTAAACCTACCTTTATCCCACTAATTTATAAAAAAGCATTTACTAGATTATTCTCTTTCCTTCATTTTTGCCCCTCCCCCCTCTCTCTCCACAAATAGAACCATGGATCAAAAAGCATTATAATTAAAGTTTAAGGATCAAAATGAAAAAAAAAACCAATGGCCAAGATCCTAGACCTCTGTGCGAACGGCTAAGATGGCTTCACACCTATGCTGCACCATAAGAACCGATCTCTATATTATGATAATTGGATCCTTCCTCTACATACAATATTCATAACCATGTGGTCTTAAGTTTAACACCTTGCATGTATGTATCCAATGAAATTTCTCATTTTAACATTGTTTATTTTTGTATTATAAAAGTGTTTTCAAAAAGTTTTAGTTTTTTTTAATTTTAATTTTGATATTTTTAAATTGTTTGTAAATAGAATCATCTCTATTATCAAAACTCAAGGTGACCACATTGATTTCCAATTGGCTAAGTACCAAGAAATCATCAATTTTATCCCATGTTCTTTATGGGACAAAATAGGGTAGAAAACCACGCACTTGCACTTGGATATTGTGTTCTACTTCAACAACGATAGCATGCATGAAATGAAATTTTGTTGCAGCAAAAAACCCAATGAAAAGGTTAAAGCCACTTACGTACCTTTTGAATGATCATGACTCTTGAAACTCTTTCTGATAGAGGCGCCCCTCATCTTCTTCCCCGCAAAACCTCTTAAAGCTCCCATTCTTCAAGTAAAACAAAGAGCATGGCAATGAAAAAGAGCTGAATCTCAGATTTTTCCGTGTTGAAAACCAAGACGGGAATAATAACTTCAATGGCATAGCTTTAATGTCTGCTGTGTTTGCAACAGTTCTATCGCTTTGAAGCAGTTGCCTCCGTTTGCCGAAGCTGCTCCAAGGATTCAGGCCACCAGGATTTGAGCAAGCATCTAAAATTAAGTTCTTTAAACGAATTCAGTCTATCCGCTTCATTTGTTGACTTCAATTGTTGATTTTGTACTCTCGAAGGCTTGAGGTAAGTTTTGCAGGCAGCAGAATAAGTTGTTTGAGATCGTATTTGAATATATTTTAAAAATATATGTAATGTGAAATTGATAAATTTTTTTTTATTTTTAAATAATTTAATGTTTTGATATTAAAAATATAAAAAAATTATTTTCGTACATTCTCAAATAAAAAATATATGATGTTTAATAACACCCTCCAAAATAATTTTTAAAATTGATAACAATTTAATATATAAAAAAATAATGCTTTTTATATATATATTTTTTACATGTATACATAAAAATTATCAAAATACAGCTAAAAAATATTAATTTTAAAAACATTTTAAACATGCTTTGAGTGCAGCGAAACCGTGCTACAGGCCGCACTCCCAAACGAACTCAGTACTGACAAGGCCCAAAACCCAAGTATCAAAAGCCCAAACAAACCTAGCCTGAAAAGCCCCTAAAACCCTTCTTCTTCTTCTTCGACAGTGAGGAAGGAATTATTTCATCTTCTCTAGACACGAACTAGGAACGGAGAAAAGCATGGAGTTTGAGAAGAGAAAAGCAGCAACGTTAAGCTCACTGGCATCCTCAAAGACAGATAAATCACCAAAAGGAACGGTAGACACACACTTAATCCCACTCATCAACACCATCAACTCTCACCCTTCTTACTTCACCACAAGTTCCTGCTCCGGCCGTATCTCTATCCTCTCCCAACCGAAATGGAACCCAACACCATCCACCAGTAAGAAGAAAGCACGTGGAGGATCCTGGCTCTTCATCTCCCACGACCTGGCCAATCCCAACTCTCTCCTCCCCCTCCTCTTCCCCTCTGAGCCACTCTCTGAGTCGACCGAGTTTACCACTGAGTCTGCCAGTTCAGCGGATGGGCCCTCCGAATCAGCAGCTGGGTTGGTAACCGAGTTGGTGTTCCGGTTCGAGCCTTTGATTATTGCTGTGGAGTGTAGAGACATTGAAGCTGCACAATTTTTGGTGTCTTTTGCTATAAAGAGTGGGTTTAGAGAGTCAGGGATTACAAGTGCTAATAACAAGAGGGTTATTGTGGGGATCAGGTGTTCTATAAGAATGGAGGTCCCTTTAGGTGATAGTGATAGGATTTTGGTGTCTGAAGAGTATGTGAAGTTTCTTGTTGACGTGGCGAATCAGAAAATGGAAGCTAACTGGAAGAGAACCCAAGGTTTTTTGAGTGGTTTAATAGACAATGGGTTTCAGAGGCATACAGTTTCAGAGAATGGTGAGCGTCGAGATGGGGATGATGATCAGTCCGAGAGAACAGCAAATGGGGATGCTCATATTGGTAATCTTTATTAATTTCTTGAGTTTTTTATAGCTTATATGTCTTGAGGTATTGTGAATTACAAACTGACTTTAAAGATTGTGTATTCAATAGAAACACATGTCAAAGTTTCTGACTTTGAAAGTTTAGTAGACTATATTTTTTTGTCTGCTGTATTGATTTTAGCATATTCTTGCAATTCTGAATTTAGCTATTTTTCTGTTTAAGTGGTTGGAATATTATAATGTCGCTGTTACATAGTGATGTATATTGCATATGTCTGATGTGTGAATTTTTTACAGATTATATACTTGTGATTGCAGGAGACTTTTCGTTTTAATATTACACGAAAGTTTGAGTCTTTGAATCATTGGCATTGGCAGGGATGGTAGGAGGAGGAGAAAAAGCTGCTGATTGCAGTTTACCTGTTTCTTCGATCCTAGTTGCTGGTGAATCCGTAGAGAAGCTTTTCCTTTGGGGTCACTCTGCTTGTGTATTGGATAATGGAAGCAATAAAAGTGTTCTGGTATTTGGTGGTTTTGGAGGGATTGGAAGGCATGCCCGGAGAAATGATTGTTTTCTGCTTGATCCGTTCAGTGGCAAGTTAAAAGCAACTGATGTTGAGGGTGCCCCATCTCCGCGATTGGGTCACACAGCTTCTTTGGTTGGTGATTTAGTTTTTATTATTGGAGGCAGAGCTGATCCTTCAAGCATTCTGAATGATGTATGGGTTCTAAATACAGCTAATATGGAATGGAAGCTGATACAATGCACTGGCAGTGTTTTCTCTTCAAGGTGAAGTGTTGAGAACATTTATATTACTTTCTTCAGTTCACATTTTAGTCTCCCTTTCTTTTGCCTTTTGATATATAATGAAAGGCTTTATGAATTGTTCGTCAAAGAAACAAAAGAGTGTATCCCATCTTGCAAAACAACTGTTGATTTTGTTCACCTTTCTTTGCATCTTTAAAATCTCTCATAATGGATTCCTTAGAATCCATGCATAATGTGTTTTTTTTTTTTTTTTTTCGTTGGAATGAATGCCATATTTGTGCTTCTGAATTCTTTATGTATGTTTTGCAGGCATCGGCATTCAGCAGCAGTAGTTGGCTCAAACATATTTGTATATGGTGGACTTAACAACAATGATACAATCTTATCATCCTTGCATGTTTTTAACACTGGAAATCTGCAATGGAAAGAAGTCTTGGGTGATGGGGAACGACCATGTGCTCGTCATTCTCACTCAATGCTAGCATATGGGTCTAAAGTATTCGTGTTTGGAGGATACAATGGTGAGAGAGCTCTTGGAGATTTATACAGTTTTGATGTCCAAGCATGCATGTGGAAGTTAGAAAAGACAGCTGGAAGAAGTCCACATGATAGATTTTCCCACTCAATGTTTGTCTACAAGGATTTTCTTGGAGTCATTGGTGGTTGCCCTGTTGGACAACATTTCCAAGAGTTGGCATTGCTTGATCTGCAGTCTCATACATGGAAACAAGTAACACTTGATTATATTGGCAAAGAGTTGCTTGTGCGAACGACAGCCAATGTTGTTGGTGATGATCTTGTTATCATTGGGGGTGGTGCAGCTTGTTATGCATTTGGAACAAAATTCAGCAAGCCATTTAAAGTCAACTTGCTTCCACTAGTACCTTTAGGAGACAAACTTATGCCAACAGAGAGGAATGTCAACTTTAGAGTTTCTCATGTTGAAAATGCAGAGGCTTTAACTCAGAGTCCTGCCATGAACTTTGAGGCTGAGAAACATCAGTTGGTTTCTTATAGCCGGGTACTACAACTTGAAAAGAAGTATGCAAAAACGGGGAAAGACATACTGAAGAATTTTGGATGGTTAGATCTTGGGAGGAAGGTATATACTAAGGAGGATGGGTTACATATTTGTTTTCCTATCACAGAAAAATTCTCTGCCATGTTTCTGGAAAAGCATGATCAGGATGTGGATGTGTTTGAAGAGGGGAATGAAACTTTTGTATGTAAACCATTTACAGGAGGAGGAATTTTGTTAAATGAGGTATCTTGTTCAACAGCCTTGAACTTCCTTAAGAAATGTGGTGCCACTAATTTAGCAAATGTGGTTGGTGAAGTTAGAAAATCTTCCAAATCTCCCTTTCAAACAATGAAGGAATCGACTGCCTTGTTGATTAAACAGAAAGACCAAGCAGAAACACTATTAGAGCAGCTGCCAAACAGGTTAGTTTGTCAGGAACTTTATATTTTGGCATCTGTTGTTGTGCTGAAGTGTTGTAAGTTGAGGTCACGCTACATTGGTTACTGAGAAATATAATTATTGAGATTGTTGCTCACCTTTTTTATATCTTTCACCCTGTCAACTTTTCTGTACATTCAGATGGGAACGACTTGGGGATATTGTGGTGCTTCCAGCAACATCCTTCAAGGATCCAATATGGGACTCAATCAGCAAGGAGCTTTGGCCTATCGTAGCCAAATCACTTAATACTCACCGTGTTGCTCGCCAAGTATGATAGAACGTGAAATATTTATAAACTGGAGTTGATATTTTGCTTGCTTAGAGATGTTTTTTTATTTTATTTTAATTTGTAATGTATCTTATTTAATAATTTGTTATTGCCAAGCTCATACATTTCTTTGAGCCATGATTATCCAACATTCGAAGTTTTCTAACTGCATGCTGAGGCTGTAGTATCCTAGGTTGATTGGCGGAGGATAGATACTAGTTGAAAGTATGAATTTTTCTACATGAGTTTAGAAATGTTGGCATTGATGTATGATTTGTGTCATCACACTTTAGTGCGGTAACTTCGATTGTTAAAAGGATCTCTATGCATGATCATCAGGCGGCATCTTGCTATTGCTAGGATCTATTTATGCATACTTTCTTTTGTTAGTTTGCTGTATAAGCATAATTCTTGCATTTCTATGTGCAAAGGACTGAATGTCATGGCTATTTAGTGCATACTGCTATTTTTATGTATCATCTTATTTCCCAATGTGTTTTATTATCATATGCCACTGCTATGATATGCTTATAAACAGTTTTCCATAAAAAGGTTCTTGAATTTCAATTGGACAAAGGTTTTCTTAAGCTTACAAATTTTTTGAAAGTATTGTTGAATTCATGTATTCATTCTGTGAATCTGATGGTATTTTAGGGGCGAGTTGCATCCACTGGAACAAGGGACAGTACTTTGGAGATTCTGGTAGGAGATAATGGGTGGGTTGATCATCGAGAAAATGGAATTCTCTATTCCTTCGATGCTACCAAGTGCATGTTCTCCTGGGGTAATCTTTCTGAGAAGCTTCGTATGGGAAATCTGGAGTGCAAAGATGAGGTTATAGTGGATTTATTTGCTGGAATAGGATATTTCACATTGCCATTTCTTGTCAGGTAATATGTGATTTATATTAGTCTGTGTGCAAATTGAAATTCAATTGTTAGTACTTTTCTCTCTGTTAGAAAGTCTGATTTTTTCAAATTCAATTGGTCTTTTACTTATCAATGTCTGGAGAAGTAAAAATTTGGGAAGATAATTTCAAAGGTTTGATGATTGGTTTTGGCCTTGAACACCTCTTAAGTTCAACTTCAATCAAAATGGTGGAAGTTATTCATGAAGTAGTTTAGTTCAATCTTCAAATTCTGCGTGGTTGGGAGCATGGTTGTAGTTGCTTTTCAAAATATTTTTTACTAAGAAATGTATCAAAATAAATTTTTTTTTTTAAAAAAATCATTTTTGATATCAGTACATTAAAATGATCTAAAAACATAAAAAAAATATATTAATTTAAAGTAAAGAAAAAAATAAAATTAAATCAAATTTTTTTAAAAGCGCTTTTGAAACCCAAAAACAAAGGCCTACAAATTATTGTTTCATTTTTGTTTGTATTTGATTTTGAGTTTTAATGATGTGTTGATTAGGGCCAAAGCAAAACTGGTTTATGCTTGTGAATGGAATCCTCATGCTGTTGAGGCACTCAGACGTAATCTTGAAGTAAATTCTGTCTCTGATCAATGTATTGTACTTGAAGGAGATAATAGGATGACAGCTCCCAAGGTACATTTTGCTCTGGTCATTGTTAATGTTTTACCTGCAAATTCTCAAGTTTATTGGGTTTGTCTATACTGAATGCCTTCTTATTTGTAGTTTTGAAAGGGTTGGGGGTCTTAGATTTTGTTGTTACCAGTTTTTAAATTTAACGCTCTTGCTCTTTGCACCACTTCTCTGGTGCGAGTTGACTTGGTGTGTTTGTCTGTAACTTGATACTTTCTTGATTTATATTGAAGCATGCACCTAACTTTCAGGTCACCTGGCTTGATTCTATGATATGTTGGCTGCAATCCAATGTGGTTCCATAATGTACATCTTTTTTTTTTTTTAATCATGTTCATAAAAGGCATCCTCTACCAAGATATGATGTGCATCAGTTACAAGGATGTTGTACTATTACATATAAATCAAATTGCTTAATTGCAGGGAATTGCTAATCGAGTTTGTCTTGGTCTTCTTCCAACAAGTGAGGGCAGTTGGGCTACTGCTGTTCGGGCATTAAGGTGATTTATCCCAACATTAAACATTGCTCATCTCTCAATGATGTAAACACAAAACTTTCATACGAAGTTTATTTTTAGCTCGAAACATTCATCTCCACAAAATGTTTAAACATCCTTGGAGATTTAAGCCACATTAGCAGTGAAAATTTTCCATGGGGTTTGTCCACTCTGGTTTGACCTTCCCAAACCTATAGTAAAATGCCTGCCTTCTCTCCCTTTCTGATGGTAGCACTGATAATGCAGGAGTGAGGGTGGGATGTTACATGTGCATGGGAATGTGAAGGACTCACAGGAGTCTTTGTGGACCGCACATGTTTTGAAATCTATTGATGAAATAGCTAGATCCGAAGGTATGGTCTTCTGGACTCTGGGTCTCCTTCTGAAGTTCATTTAACAAGAGTATGCAATGCCAAGGATGTCAAAGTTCACTCTTGACATGCTGCTGCTTATCTGCAGGTCATTGTTGGGAGGTCTCAATAGAACATGTGGAACGAGTAAAATGGTATGCCCCTCACATCCGCCACCTAGTTGCAGATGTGAGGTGCAGCAGCTTCTAAGATAACACTAGAAACACTGTCCTCATTCAGGGCAACAAATTATTCTTCTGCCAGGAAAGTGGCAGTATTTGGATGATGCCACGTGTCAAGCTACATGCTGATCACCCTATGGTATTACCCCTATTACAAAATGTGGCCATTAGAGCCCCAGGATCTCAAAAGAGTTCTGAACATCATGTGGATGCTGGAGAGATTAGTAGTTCAAACATTCTTGCAGTCTCAATTTTTTGAGAGATCTGTAGAAGAATGCAGCACTTTAGAAAAAGGCATTTGTTATGTAACTTCCATGCATATTTTTTAGACTGAGACAATGAGTGTGGTGCGTGTGGACTAGTTTCCATAGGACAACTTTATTTTATAGTGCCAGCAGCTTTACTGGTGGTGTATTACGATTGCCCTGTTCTCCCGCCACCTTTTCTCTAATATCCATGGAACAATCGCATGCACTTCGAAAGGTGAATGAATGATGGCTAGATGAAGTTGCATGGGACCATTAGGACTAGCTTTTTGAGGAGTGAATTAGACAAAGGGAGAGCTTAGAATTCTCTACATTTTCATGGGAGGCTTGTTCTTCTGTACCCTATTATTAAAGGAACAAGCCCACCTTTGGCAGCCACTGATGTTGGAGATTTTTCTGGCTCCACTGGATGTTGAAAAGTCATAGCTCTTTGGTTCCGTTTTGTCTGAAATAGTCTAACTAAAAATAAAATAAAAATTCACCTCATTTCAAATTTTACCTAGTCTGGATTTTTGTAAATTTTAGCTAGAATATTTTGGTTTATTTTATATATTCCATTCGAGACTTTAAAAATTATTAAATTAAATTGATATTTTGTTTAAGGTAAATTATTTTATATTTAAATTTTATTTAATTTTGATTATTTAGAAATATTTTAAATTTTAAAATTATATTTGTTTGATATTGTGTTATATATAATCTCAAAATAACACATCAAAACATTTTAAAACCAAAGTATTTTATTTTAATTAAAAAAATAAAATATTTGTCAAAATAGAATTGACAACTTCTTTGGATAACAGAGAGTTTTTTTGTGCTCACATGTAAGTTTACTTGTCATGGCTGGTTTTTTTATTATTTAGAGTGTGTTCGATAATGTGATAGTAATTATTTTTGAAATAATCTTTTGTATTGAAATACATATTAATGATATTTTTTATTTTTTAAAATTATTTTTAACATCAATACATAAAAACAATTCAAAATATATAAATTATATTAAATTTTAATAAATAATAAAAAAACTAAATTTTTTAAAAATACAGGTTGAATTACGTTTTTATAAGATTCCTTAACCATCATATTTTGCAGTTGATTTGGAAGTTGGACTGGGACAATACATCATTCTTGTTGAGATGTTGATTGCTAATGTGGACCTATGCTGTGATGTGAGTCCACAATAATTATTCTTAGTTTAAGTGTCATTGGTGCGTTTTAAATATAGAAAAAAACTCTGTATGATTGAGACTAAATCTTACTAAAAAATAAAAAATAAGATGGTTTTATTTTAATTAGATAAAAAAATAAAAATATTAAATAAAAAAAATAAAAAAAATATTTTTTTAAGAACAGAAAAATGATGATGTTTAATTTTATTTAAAAATAATGATGTTTAATTTTTATTTAATTAAATATGAAAATAGGAAGTTGGGTAAAAAGAGAATTAAAACACTGGCACAATTTTTATTCAATTAAAAATGGAAGGTTGAAGTTAAGTTAAAAAAAATTAAAATAATTAAGAGTAATTCAGTTTGGAATAACCTGTTAAACTTGTATCTCAACTTAATAACATGATAAAAAAATCAAAAAAATAAGGATTAAATTGAAAATATATTATACCATAAATTTGAATTAAAAGATGAAATTGAAAACTAATAAAACTTATACAAAAAAATAGAAATAAAAAAATAAGAATTAAATTTAAAATAATAATATATGACAAATTGAGATTGAATGATAAAATTAAAAGTAATTAAAAATTTTACAAAAAGACCAAAATTAAAAATTAAAAAATTAAAATTAAAATTAAAATTAAATAGCAACAATAAAGAGAACCAGATTTCAATTTTTGAAGGAGAAAAAAGAAAAAATAATAATGCTCTACTAACAATAAAGTATGTTATTATCGTTGACACGCATTAACAGGAAGAAGACATAGCAACATTTCCAATAAAAATAACAATGAGTGACGAAACACATTATGCTAAAAGTAAGTAGATGATGCCCACATAATAATACATGCATTGCATTGCATACACTAATAGCCTTTTCAATTAAAATAATAATTAATTAATATTAAAAAACTAAATTATCCATAATAAATCTAGTAATAACATAATAGTCTCTGTGAAAAGATCAAATGGCCGTGGATGTATGGTTTAATTTAAAAAGTAAACTTGTCATTGTATTGTACTTGAAGAATTTAAAAAACATAAATACCTTTATGTGCCAGTTTTTTTAAAATTAATTTAGAAGATAATTAGATTATTTTAAATTGTTTTTAAAAAAGATTTATATCTTTGATTAATAGGGAAAAAAACCAAAATACTTCAACGCCAAGGCCATTAATTTTTTTTTTAGTTATACTGTCACAATGAATAGTAAATTATATATCCATATACAAAGTGATTTTTCCTTCCTTTTTTTGTTTTTTTTTTGTTTTTATAATACCCTCCATGGCCAGCGGGGCTACACATTCTAAAGCCTTATTACTTGCATTAAAGGGCGGTCCATGGCCCATGAACAAAACTTTTCCACATGCCTCGGCCCCACTCATTGCTGATGATCAAGATTCTTGTTAAGGAATCACACACAATTAATCCAGAGACTCCAAAGTTACTGTATTCTTTTGAACGGCATGTTGATCAGTGCTATAAATCCCGGTCCCGTCCGCTCCAGTCGATTAACTCAGCGAGCTGCTAATATAATTTAAGCCCGGGCCGGGTTTAAAAAAACCAAAAAAAAAATCTTTTATTATAATTTTTATAATAATCTAGATTAATATTTCTAAAATTTAACTCAGATTTTAAATTAAATTATAGACCCCTGACGGGTTTAGAACCCGTTTGGCAACGAGGTTGCGTTTGTGTTTTATTTAGAACGTAGATGTAACCTGTTTAGTAAAAACAAAATATATTTTACTGTATATAAGTTCCATGTTTTTTCGTGTCCGAGACACAGGAAAAGAAAAAGCATCATTTTGCTGCTTTGTGCACACTATTCACGCTAACTTTAATTAGCGTGAACAATGTATGTGAACAGTGCAATAAATTTGCACTGTTCACTTGAAAAATAACGAACAGTGCAAATCTATTGCACTGTTCACACATTTTTTTTAAAAGATTGTTAATTTTATTAATATTTTTTTAAAAAAAACTAGTTTAAAGTAAATTAAATTAATTTGTACTGTAATATAAATAATATTTTTTTCCTAAAAAATTAGTATATAGTGAATTAAATTCACTCGCATTATAATATTAATTTTATACCTGATAATATTTTATCTAATTTTATTACACGCTCAATATATTATGAAAACTGTAGTTTTTATCGGATAAATTTTGTATGTAATGGAATTATAAATAATTTAATGGAATAATAAAAAATATTTTATATAAAATATTATTTATTTCATGATGTAATAGGAGTAATTAACTCTACAATATTTAAATTTAAAACCATCAATATTAATATATATTTTTTAAAATTATTTTATAACTTTAATTTCAAAAGTATTTTTAACCGAATACATTAAACTATTTTTTTTAACCTCAATTTCAACCATAGTTTTAACTAAACATCTATTTTTTTAAATTAACCTCAATTAAAAATACTTTTTATAAAATAATTTTTTTAAAACCACAGCCACAATAACTATTTTAATACTAAACACACTCCTAGTCGTCTTGATGCGGACCATGCATCATGTACACATTGCTCTACTGCCTATGTATTTAAATTTCCAAAATTACGTTTGAAGACGCTACACGTGGGCACACGTACGTGTAAGAATCTGCCTAGATTCCAAATTTCCAAACCGACGTTTATTAAAATAGGATAAGGTAGGGCCCTTTTATGTACACGTCATCGTCAAGGCCAGAGGAAGGAGATCCCTCACATTTTGTGGATCTTGAGGTAAATTGTGTGTTACTGGCAAGCAACAGAGGGCCATTGTCTGTTTCTTTCTTTCTCTTTTTTCAAGGGCCAGGCAGGATCGATCTTGCATGTTGGGATTAAATTGGACGTTAGGAGATTAATCTTCATAATTAGCGGAATTATCATAATTAAATTGAATTAACCATTATTACAGAGATAAGAGGTGTTCTCCCCTCTTGTAATGAGATACCTTTCAACTTAAATAGAGATCTGAGCCTTTTACTCTGGAGTATAAAAGTAAATTTGATTTTGAAATAATTTTAAAAACATTAAACACTATTTATTGTTTTGAAATAAAAATAATAACTTGAGCAGACCATGGAGTGGGCCCTCCTGGATAAGGTTGAGACAGCATTCATGGTGACAGGTGTCACAGAAGTCGAGAATCTCATAATGAGTCATCACCATTGCCTCCTACAGCAAACTTTAGTGTCGGTGGCCATTTTGATGCGTGAAGGGTAATTGTTATTGTGTTTTTTATTTTAAATTAGTGTTTTAATATTTTTTATACTAATATGAAAAAAATAAAATAAAAAAGCCTTAAAATGACAATTATAACAAACGGCTCTTTTAGCTTGGCTTGATCCATGGAATTTCTCCCAACAAGACATCACTAGCCTTCTTTTGATATCTTTTTCCCCAGGCGGCTGGCTAGGCAATAATGTCACCACCTCTAAATTATACTCATCTAGTTTGTATTAAAACCTATAATAATAGGACGGTTAAGTTTGTGATAACGATAATGATTTAAAATATTTTTATTTAAAAATATATTAAAAATTATTTTTAAAATTAAGTACATTAAAACAATTTAAAATTATAAAAAATATAATTTTAACCACGTTTTCAAACTCTATTTAAAATATCCTTGAGAAGAGGAATAGATCCAGATCTGTTGTTACTATATACTAAAATAGTATAATTATATTTTTATTTTTCTGTTCAAGAAACTTAACAAGTGCCCTGACCATTTTTAACCATTGAACCAGAAGACTTGAGGTGAATAATTATATGCAGGAATGAATAACACAAGATTTGAGGAAGTGGAAGCCATTCAGCTTCTTTCCCACGAGCCACAGAAGATGGGGTCCTGCTGAACATTAAGCTCCTTCACCACCACTTGGCTAATGCTTAATTTCAAAGCAGTCTATTCAAGATTATTATATATATATTATTTGATCCTGTAAAGAGAAGAAAATAGTTTCTTTCCATTTCCATCATCTTGTTTTTCTTGTCGCTGTCCTTTCACACTATATTATGCAGGACTGGTGCCTTACCATTTACAATCAGCACTCAATTATCCATTAATGGAGCTGAAAAAACCCTTTATTCAGAAGATCTCGTACTTGCTGGTCCACGCAGAGGAGTGGTACAACCTTGCTTACACAGAAATGCGCTCATCAAGATCATATCCCATCTAATAATTGCTTAACATCATCTTGCTACTGTAATCAGCAACATTGGCAAGCATTTTCCCATGCTAGCTTCCAAGATTCAGCTTCCTTGTGAAGTTTGAATGAGGTGGTTAGGAGCATTATTAACCCTAATAATTCTACTTTTAGGGCAACCCCACTTGAAAGTGAAAGCTCATGTAGCTTGCTCTTTCACTGTTTTCTACTCATCCGCTAGACGAAGAGAAGATAAACCAAGCCCTGTAGCACATGCAGCAACGCTCATCTCCCTCCACCAAGCTCCAACTTTATCGTGGGTTTTTCCACCAAGCAGCAAGGCAGTCCCACTTATTAGCGAGCGATTAATAACTACGGTCTTAAACCATCGTGGTGGTAAAAACTTGAGACTAAAGGGTTTGTTTTTTCTGTGGTTTCAGGTTCGAGTCCTTGATTGCTCATTTGATGGCAACTGGACGCTTACATGATCGTTAACTTCAAGGCCCGTGAGATTAGTCGTGGTGTGCACAAACTGGTCCGTACACCCATATTAATCTAGCAGCAAGGCAGTCCCACTTATTAGCGATTAATAACTACGGTCTTAGTTTCATTCACAAGTAAAGATTGTTTCATTCAAATATATTCTTGAATATCAAGTGTTAATTACTACCCCACCTTTAATTTCTTCTGCCTTTTGTTATGATTTTATCGATGTCCCTTGCATGTGAGCATAAGAAAACACAACTTTTCTATTTATTTATTTGATATTCAAGGTATTTTTCAATCAATATATATATTTTGTGTGTGTCTGTGTGGCACATGGATGTGTGATTCCTTGTCTGATTATCTGTTTCTCATATCAACTTACATAAAAAAGAAGAAAAAAGTTGACTAAATCTTCTACATAGCGTGCAGTCTAGTGAATTTGTTGAAATCTATAATATGCTTACTTCGAGATATTAATTTGACATTAATAGTCACATTACAAATAAATAAATAAAGTAATACTCATAGTGATGATCATCCAGCTTCCAAGAAGCTACACATAAATTAATGGTTCGATAAAAAATAATGGTTCGGAATTCTAAACTGGAATTGAATTTAATCTACTTAATTTTGCATCTTCTATCACGAAATCATCCATAAAATATGCATTGATTATGAAAACTTATAGTAGAAGGAACATGTGAGGGACCAAGTAAATGACACATATTTATTTTTTATTTTTTAAAAATATTTTTTATATTATTAATCTGAAAACATTAAAAAATAATTATTTTAAAATAAAAAATATTTTTTAAAAAATAAAAAAATATTATTTTAATATTTTTTAAATAAAAAATATTTTAAGAAACAATCATGTAACTTATCTTCATAAACTTTATATATCTATATAAAGGAAAAACAGAAAACTATCGGAAAACTTCAGTTTACCAGTAGATGCCAGTAATTTGTTTCAGCATCTTCAATTAATAAAATGCTATCCAGAGAGCAGTAAAAGCATAGATGCCCTAAAGGGAAAAAGAATCAAACTCATAAAACCAGAATATTAAATTTATGACAACTGGCTCTTATTTTATTTGAAAATCTATCCATCATTTCTTTATTTAAGAAGTTGCCCCAGAGAGCTTCAAAGCAAGGTCAGTGACCTATAGTGAAGGAAAACATAAAAAAAAAAAATGGATGCCAAGGCTCTCTTCTTCTTTGCTTTGTTGTCCTTCTCAGCTGTGTCGGTCAGGCCGGCCGTAGCAGAAAATGAAGAAGACCCTGGTCTTGTCATGAACTTTTACAAGGATACATGCCCTCAAGCTGAGGACATTGTCAAAGAACAAGTTAGACTCCTTTACAAGAGACACAAAAACACTGCATTTTCTTGGCTAAGAAACATCTTCCATGACTGTGCTGTTCAGGTAATTAAGTCTTGCTTTTATTCCTCTTTTTTGTTTCGGATTTTTTTAGTTCTTGATGATCATGCATGTCTTGTTTTGTAGTCATGTGATGCTTCACTGCTGCTGGACTCAACAAGGAGGACCTTGTCTGAGAAGGAGACAGACAGGAGCTTTGGCCTCAGGAACTTTAGATACCTTGACGATATCAAAGAAGCTGTTGAAAGGGAGTGTCCTGGAGTTGTTTCCTGTGCTGATATTCTTGTTCTGTCTGCTAGAGATGGCATTGTTTCGGTACTTCCCTGATTTAAACTTCATCAGTCTTGTCTTTGATTCTTTTAAGCGATTTTTTATCCTCTCTGATTGGTCTAGAAGAAGGTATATTGTTTTGGCTAGATTTGGGCTCTTTTGTAGTTTGCATGGCAACTTTTACTGAATTTGGTGTCTCCAGTTTGAGTCTTTTTTTCCCTTTCAGGTCACTTAAGACAGGTTTTCTCGGGATATTATATGCTCTATTTCTGACAGAATTTGTAGAGTGATTGCTGAAATTTGTCCAGTACTTTTATAGTAAATGGAAGTTTAATGTGGCCTTAAACCTTTCTTGATTTCAGCTAGGAGGACCTCATATCCCTCTCAAAACTGGAAGAAGGGATGGCAGGAAGAGCAGAGCAGATGTGATCGAGGACTATCTCCCAGACCACAATGAAAGCATATCTGTTGTTCTAGACAGGTTTGCTTCCATGGGTATTGACACCCCTGGAGTGGTTGCCTTGCTAGGTATATATATTAACATGTAAACCTCAAATGGTAGCTTTATAGTCATGAATCCAGGTGTCCTCATTACTAAAAAGTTGGTTTATTCTTCTTCTTTTGTTTTTATGTCCAACAGGAGCTCACAGTGTTGGGAGAACTCACTGTGTGAAGCTGGTGCACCGTTTGTACCCGGAAGTTGACCCAGCACTAAACCCTGACCATGTTGAGCACATGCTTTACAAGTGCCCTGATTCAATCCCAGACCCTAAAGCTGTCCAATATGTGAGGAATGACAGAGGCACGCCCATGGTTCTAGACAACAACTACTACAGAAACATATTGGACAACAAGGGCTTGTTGATAGTGGATCACCAACTAGCCAATGACAAGAGAACTAAGCCTTATGTGAAGAAAATGGCCAAGAGTCAGGATTACTTCTTTAAGGAGTTTTCTAGGGCTATCACCATTCTTTCTGAGAACAACCCACTCACCGGTACCAAGGGCGAGATCAGAAAGCAGTGCACTGTTGCCAACAAGCACCACTAGAAACTTCAATTTGCTACATGTCAAACTCAAGTACTTCTCTTCCTTGTTCACAACGAGGGAGAAGAGTCTGAGATTTGCAGAATAAGATGTTTTCTTTAGAAATGGGTGTTGTTACTGCTAGTCAGTGGCAATTAAGATAGTTGTGGTATTAATGTTGGTTTAACTGCCCTGTTTTTAGCCTGGTTAGGCCCGCTCCTCTTGTTGTTGTGGTTTGTGAGATTAATGTTGGTGATGGGCATGTTGGGATGATGGGATGTATGTATAGATGGTAGATGGTGGCGATGGTGTGTGATGATCCATGTGTTTTGAAATGATAATAAGTTATTGATGATTCATGTCTGCAAGTTTCTATCACCTAGGCTACCATTGATGGCTCTCCCTCTTTGAAGATCTTAATTGAGTTGGAATTTAATGATGCAGCAGCTCCCCCACCCACAATGTAGCTAGATGGCATCAAGCAAGATGACTAAAATAAGAAAGGGCAAATAAAGAATTAAGAAAGAGCAAAATAAGGGTGGAGAAACAGGAAGTACAAGATTTTTTTAATCTGAGATAATGTTTGTTTATGGATTTTGGCGCTAGATGTTCCTTTTGTGGTAGGTAAAAGAGACAGATCATGCAGTTGTGGAGTTGTGGGTCTCAGCCTCAGACACAATTGGAGACAAAGGAAGAGAGAGTGAGTGAGTACGTCAGGAAATGATGGCTTGTGGTTTACTTTCTCTCTGTTAATGGTGGGATTTACAAGTGGTTGCATTTTATATGCGTGTAGCATCATGCTGGAAACTATTTTAAAAATATCTTTAACCGACACAAGTTGAAAAGGAAAAAAAATCAAAATAACATGAAAAATAAAGAACGAAATTTGAAGATAACTAGGAAAATAAGAAAAATTCTGAAACAACATTTTAATTTGGGCATGGCTAGCACTAGCAAGCTATCTCCACGAGGATTAGAGCCTGTAAAAGCAATATATCTAGATTTTTTTCAACACTGAACTTTGCGAATCCATTTATCCAAAGTTTGCTTATGTGGGAGACTGCAGATTCTCTATTTCAGGGTTTTTTGAGTGAGATTTGCCAATTAAAAACACATCTGATGCCAAAATATAAGTTTAACAGAGTTAATTATTCTTCACTACAGTACAAGCATGGCAGTAGTTTGACCACTGTAAGGCGGTGAAACTATAAATTGCAATCCGAGGACCACCATGAATGATCTATGAAAGGGATAATTTAAACCATTTAGTCGCAGTGGCCTTTCATACATGGATTATTGATTTTTGTTAATAAATTAAAGTAGTTTAATTATTGTCTTAAAAAAACAAAACATAGTGTACCTTCTATTTTAAAATAACAAAAATTCATTTAAAAATTATTTCAGAGATATTTGTTTTATATCTTTGTTTTTATCATTTCAATTAACTATGTTTTTGTTGATCCTGTATCCGTTTCTTTTGCTCTGAGACATTAATTTTCACATGACACAAGTCCAGTTCATTTATATATTGTTCAATGATGAAGTGACTAAGCTGCAGCATTTCACTATAAACTGGCATAGAACAATTACAACGAGTGGAATTACATACCAACTGTGCTAGAGAACACAAAAAATGCACCACCTTGCAACTTCCCATGATAAGATTTATTTCCTAGGAGTGTTAGATGATGTCATCTAAGACATATATATATGGCTACCGATCCAGGGGTTTCAGCTTAGTAATGGGACTTTTGTTTCTGTACTGCTTGAACTGCTATCAGATTCCTTCAGGATCACTTCATTCTTCTCATTCTTTTCTGGCTCTTTGGGAATTAGAGAACACAAAGAAGGATGGCAGTAATAAGGCTGCTGGTGTATGGAAATGTAGTTTGCAGTAGATGGAAAAGGTCGATAACCATATGTGTTGGCATAAGGACTTGAAGGAAATGCACTTGGTGCTGACCAATATATCATAGGCATGAAACTACTTGCTGGCTGTGGTGGGAACATATGATATGGGGTTTGGTTATGGTAAGAGACATTAGGACTGTTAATTACTTGGCTTGGGACTGCTGGAGTATCAGGTGGAGTTTGATATGGGATGGCCTGGAATGCTGCCATTGCATGAGTTTGCATTGAGGAATATCCCAAATGCCCAAATGGGGCGGGAGGTGCAGAGGTTGATGGCACAGACTCAGGAATTGATGATCTTGGAAGATTATGAGGCTTACTCGAGGAGTTTGATTGTTTCTTTCCCTTTGATTTTGTTGAATTTGTTTTCCCTGTTAGCTTCTTTGACCCTGGACTGGCCTGCCAAGAAGCAAGAAAGCAACAAAATCAAATTTAAGTAGTTAAATTCTTAGGAGGAGATCGCCAAAGAGAAGGCATAAGCCTACCACTTCACACGTCTTTTCCGGTGAAAGAAACAACTCCTCTCCTTCTGCGTCCTCATCAGTTCTGCAAGAGAGAATTTCTGCATTATGTGAGTAATGTTCTCGAAGATGAAGCAGTTTAAGAGTCGGTAGGCGTTGAGCAAAGAACAAGAGTAAGCAAGAGACAAGTTTATTAATCTTCATAAATCCTCAGTCCTGACCTTCTCCTGAAGTCCAACCTAACAAATCAGAGGAGATGGTTCATTGTATTGTTCATGACCATTTCAATCAATGTTGCTCATTCTTATCTGCAACCTTACAGTGGATAATATTCAAAAGAATATGATAATTCTATATATATGATACTTCAGAACGGAAGTTCAATGCATGTGGTTCAATATGTAAGCATTAAGATTCAATCTTTGAGCATTCATCTACCTGTAATATTTTTGCAGCAAGTCTAAGTTCCTGTATTTGGTTTCTCTTTGTACCAGGTCATCAGGAAAGCCAGCCATGAATAAAAGCGTGATTCCTAAGGCCTTGAAGAAGAAGCTCCCACAGCGTATGTGAACTAGCATTGCCATTCGGCACAAAAGTGGCCCGAAAGACTTGAGCTTGTTTCTTCCCATCCGCTGCCTGACATATCTGAAAAGAAATGATCACACAGATATCTTTAGATCAGGCTACAAGAGTATGCAACTCGGTAAGAACCTAACAGAAATGCCAGAAGATAAGTACTTACTCATTTTGAGGAAGATTTCTTGTCCTACCACCGTACTTAATGCAAAGAAAAAAGCATGATGGGCAACTAGGATCTGATCGGCGCATGTCCTTCTCTTCCTCAAGAATCTGAACTGGACATAGCGTTGGATTCTGCCGATTTGGATAAAATATTTTCCTTTGAATTCCTGGATTCTCATATAGCACATACTCCTGTCAACAAACTAGTACATGTTACTTATTCTTTGTTGATTGACGTTAAAACAATTGTAGACATGGAAGGTTAACATGGTCTACTACAAGTAATGAAGGGCTGCTAATAAAAACAGGATAAAGTACTAATACTGAAACCATAAGCATTCTCATTGTAGTCATATCTTTTAGTAACTATTCTGATACCATTATACGGAGGAGAAAACCGCAGATTTTCGAAAGAGAATCGCTTACCCCTGGATCTTTCGGTGATACGTATGGTTCACCCTTCCGTAGAATGCTAAAATGATTGAAGTCTAATTCATACATATCATCACAACCATGCCTTATACCAAGAGATGCAAACACTATGATTTTTCTGATGGTGTGGGACTGGGCATTTCTCAATAGAAGGACTTCAGACTCGAGTATCCTCTTTACTTCCTTGGGACAGAAAGCTATCTTCGGAGGCTTTCTAAGCAATGATACATTTCCAGGTCGAGTATGACAAGCCTCCTTAGGTACGAAATCATCTGCTTCTGTCCTGTGAGATTCGTTATTTTTAATTTCTCTGTTGTCATGATTTCTAGCATCTGCGCAATCAAGAACTAGTTGTTTCTCTGGTGGAAGGCCATCATTCTTTTTATCTTTATTTCTTGCTTGGTTCAGATGTTGAATTGTTTGCTCACTCTGTCCACCAAAGGAACTTTCAAAGCATGGTAACTTTATTGCCTCGCCAACACTATCTTCATGAAGATTTTCTATTAGTTCAATAGCAACCACATGGACCCCATCCATTTGTCCATTAATGTGGTTAATTTTATTATCAGCTTCATCTTCTTCATCAGTATCATCTGTATCATAACAATCTGCAGCAGAGTCATCACCTTTCAGTTTTTCAAGCTGCGAAAACTGAGTCTCATCCATGCTCATCCAATTGACTAAGCAGTCTTCAAGATTTGCATCTTTGGGAGGAATACTGAATGGAATCTCATGCTTTATCTGTGAAACCATCCCAGCATCGACTACATTTCCATTTTGAACATCATTTTGGATCACTTTTAATTTCTGTCTTTTGAACCTCTTAAGCCTTCTTTCTGTTGCATTGATAGAGCTGCCCTGAGAGTGAGCAAAAGACTTTCCATTAAAATTTATCTCGCATGAAATTGCTAACGATATTAGAGCACAAGAGAATTAATTTAACAGTAGAAACTTATTGATATCTTAATCCATTAGTTATAAACTTCTTCTGTAAAAGGCTCCTGGATCATTGATCAAAGATAGATAGATAGATGCTCAATAACAAGTGAGAGGCCGATCATCAGAAACAGGAAAAATAGAATTTCTTAGATTAAGAGCGGCTCCTAAGTCCTAAACTATCATCAACCATCCATTCACAAAGACTTGTTTCATGCTTAAACTAAAACATTAATGGTTGTTCAAAAAAGGAAAAGTACATGTAGCATCTTTGACAATCAAAAGACTTAAATATGAGATTGGTGATCATACTCGTCTGTGTGTGATCAAGGACCCCTTGTGATCTCTTTCATGTAATTGAGCTTCAAGTGCAGATATTTTCTCCATAAGCTCAGCATTCTTTTCTCTTTCCCTTTGTAGTTCTGCAGATATCTTCGCAATAACAGTGACAGTATTCTCTTCTTTCACTTCTTGCTCTATTGAACACAATGCAGAAGCATTGACCAAGCTAGCACATGATTGAAGCTCCACCATTGAACCCGAACAGTATAAGAAGTCTATAGACTCTCCAAAACTTATAGCCTAGAACTAATTACCCTCACATAGTGAGATACCCACCAATCAAAAACACTTAGAAATGGTTCAAAGATCAAGACTTCAAGAAGAAAGAAACATTTTTAAAAGCAAAGCTACATCTTGGACTGTTGAAGTACTACACTCTTAAAGCAAAACTTAGATAAACAAGGTGGTTTTGAGAGCAAAAGGATAGGCTAAGGACTATACCATTGTCGGAAAGGGTTCATTAATGGAAGAGTTAAAGAGAAGGAAAGGGGACTGTTTATAGATTGAGTAGCAAGTTAAACTACGAAAGTTGAATCATAAACAATACAAGTAAATGGTAGAGTTAGAAGAGAAAAAAGAGGAGCTTTTGTGGGTTTCAATTTATTGTTTTGGTTGTGTAAAAGCAAAATAGAGCGGCGAGAGGTCAGGCATGCAATGCCACTTGCATTCTCTCTTGCTTACACTCTTGTTTTCTTACAAGTTATTTCAATCAATTTTATATTATAATTAAATTTAATTATAACATTTCTTTAAAACTCAATCAATAAATAAGTTAAATTTACATATTTAAAAAAATAAAATTAATTTTATTTTGTTTTCTATATTACTCTTATTACATTCATTTTATTTCTTCAAAAATCTTTTTTTCAAAAGAGAACTAGATCAATATTTTAAGAAAGTTAATTTTAATATTAATTTTCAGCTCTTTGAAATTATACAACGAAAAGGTTAACCTCTGATTTATTCTTGTAGTACTTTTAAAGACTGAATTCTATTTAGAATTCAATTCTTAAGACTAAAAAAAATTCTTAATATAAGACTCCATTAATATAAATCTCTAAATTGAATTCAATTAAGAGGATTTCAAGCATGCTGTTAAATATTTTTAGGTACTCAGAGTAATGAACAAAACCATCCTTCTAGTTTAAAGGTTGGTTGAGATACTATGTCATATGAAAGAATGAGATTTGAAAAATAATTTTGTATCATTCTATAATATAAAAGCTCTTATACTAATAATCACACACGATAGCAAAAGATAATGAGTTAATTATAAATCAAAATCTTTTAAAAAACAAAGAATACCTTAACTATAAAAAGACTCTTAAAATAATTAATTTTATTTATTTATATCTTCTTTTATCAAAAAAAAAAATTACAACCATTTATATATATATATATATAAATAGAAAATCAAAATAATATTAAATAAAAAAATTATCTCCTTCACATTAAAAAAATAGAAAAACATAATAATAAAAAAATATTTATATATTTTCATATATCAATCTCCTTATGTTAAAAGAAACTTATACTTAAGATCGCTAATACAATATTTTTGTATGGGTCATATTATTATGAATTTTTAACATAATATCCTTGTATAGGACATCTCATCATAAATCTCATTACTAAGATTCTTATTATAGAAACAACACACAAGTTTTTGGACTTCTTTTCATGATGAGAAATAAACACATTCTCTTTTGTAATTTTTTTTGGTCATGATTATTCAATATTACATAATAATTAATTATAAAAAATTATTAAACTATAATACATGGACTTTACAATATTCAACCAAAACCATTAAAAATTGTTAGATTTTAATATTCTAATACCAAATCACCCGTAAAAAAGGAAAAGATAATAGAATTTATTATAATTCAAAACTCTTAAATACTTAAAACACAATAACTATAGAGAGACTTGCTTCATTTTATTTATTCATGTTTTTAGTTGCTAAAAGGCTATTATAACCCTTTATATAAAAAAAATATTAATTATATTGAATAAAAAATAAATTAAGATAAAATTATTTTTTTCAAATAAAAAAAACAACAACTAGAACGTAAAATTTTGAACTAACAGACGAGACTTTATATTAACAGATGACAATCTTGACATAAATAACTTGTATTTGATTGGATTAATGAACCTAGTCTTGATGGTGGCTTGATGAGTAGCTGTCAATACCCCTTAATCAACATAGGGCCACCTTCATAGGATTCCTTTTCATTTAATCTTAAATTTCCGTGACTTTTGTCAAGTGCTTTGCTCTCATGATCTCAGAGACCAAAGTCATTAACACTTACAAGAAGGCACTTACTCTTGAAATAGCAAGTCTCCATATATATATTGTTCTTAATGGGAAATCTGGAACTCAAATGGCTTTTATTATAATTTAAAAATATATTAAAATAATAATTTTTTAATTTTTAAAAATTATTTTTAACATATCAACGTCAAAACATATAAAAATATCTTTATAACCGATTCAATCAAATCATGAATTGAATTTAATTCATATCAAGTCGTGATCAGGCGAGTCACAAGTTAACTCGCTAGGTTTTACAGCAATGTTGCACGCAGATAAAAGGTGTCCATCATTAAGAGATGAACCCTAATTATCAAAGAATAAATGAGAATGGACATTTTGGAGTAATGATTATAAACACTGCAAAATGAAAAGATCTATCTGCTGTCTGTCTGTCTTGACAAGAGAGTCCATGGCCCTTTGCCCCATGTATAAAGCCACAAAGAAACAGTGTGCACACGTGCATATAATTTTGTAACCCTAGTTTTTGCAATATACAAATCCATCCTCACGTGGAAAGGTTACCTAAGTGCTTGTCTCTAATGAAATTTCGTGTCAGGGGAATATGAAGCTTGAGAACCTCGGATACCTATCCTTCTAATTTTAAATTATGGCCACCTTCTTAATTAATTATAATTAAGAAACTAACCAGTCCCTCAGAGCCTGAAATTCTTAGTGATCAAGGGAGATGAACACAAGAAAAAGTTGGTCTAATGATCCTGGGGCTGCTCAATTAATGGTTAAATGAGATTTGGGTCCATATATTATCCTTTTTTTTTAATGGCATCCTTCGTTTTTTTTTTTTTTAATTTTAATCTTTTCTGTTCATATCATTAATGGTGTTATCTGATATTAACTTTGATATATTCTTTGAAATATCCTTTATTATGTTTGAAAATGGAAGGAAAAATTAAGATTTAGGTCTTATCAATAATTCTTTCCCCTCACATATAATTAATCATTTAAAAAAATTAAAAAACTAATAAATACATAAAATTAATAATATAATAAATTCTCATTAAAAAATATATCCAAGATTTTCTCTCTCGGTTATTTTCATGAAAACTAAGTTATCACATACCCAAATTCTTATGTATTTGATTAAAAAAAATATGATTTTTGTGGTTTTCAGTTTTTTTTACTATTTAACTTTTCATGATTATTTTTTTTTATTTCATAATGTTGTAGTTTTAACCAAAATCTAATTATAAATCAAGGAAAGACAAAATTGGTGGGAATAGCTCATTTCAGTTTAATGTTTTTAGTTTTAATATGTTGTTTAATGCTTTTTTTAATTTATTATCTATTTCGTTTTTAAAAAACAAAAAAAATTATATTTTAAAGTTAATTCAAATAACATCATTAGACAATGTTTGATTGTTGTACTGAAAGAGAAAAGATGAAGATAATAAAAATATAAATATATTTGATTGAAAAGATAAAGACATAAATCTAAGATAATTTTAGGATAAATTTTTATATTTCTAAAATAGAAGGTACAAAGGAGACATGTCTTTGTAGATAATATTTATTACTTCTAAAATATCATTATAAAAATCTTTTAATTCCAAAATTATCAATATAAAAAAAATTAAGATAAGAGAAGTTATTATTATAATAATTTTAAAATTCAACTCAAGAGTTAATCTGGTGTAAGGCTACAATCACAAGTTAGAAAGGTAAACTCATGTTGACCTAAGTCAACATAAAAATAAAAATAATTATAATTATAGTTTTAAAACCCAACTCAGAGGTCAACCTGTAACAAAGTCTAGTTCACGGGTCGAAAGCATCAAGCTCGATTAATATATAAATAAAAATAATTATTATCATAATTTTAAAAACTGAATCGGGAAATCAACTTGATATAAGGTCCTTGTCATGTGTCGGGAGAGTTAACTCAGGTTGACTTGAGTCAACATATGAATAAAAATAATTATTATCATGATTTAAAAATCTGACTTGACATGAACAAAAAATCAATAAATTTTTTACCTGTATTTTATCTTAAGTCAGCTCAGGTTTTTAACTTGTTGATTAGGTAGAGTCAATCCTTTTTTTTCTTTTAAAACCTGAAACAAATTATGCTCTAAATTAGTTGGGTCTTGAGTTGAATTATAAAATATTTTTTTTATATTTTTTTATGTATTGTCCATTATAATCAAACAAGATATATAAAAAAATCTTTTTATTTAATACATAGTTACCAAATATAAAATTTTTTTAGTCATCTACTCTGTCATGTATTATCTATCTCTACAGTCTTTGTATTTTCTGTCTGAGGAAAATAATGCTACCTCAATGACAAAGGGACTAACGGTATGGATACAGTTAGATTAAAAAAATTCAAAGATAAGGGACATCATTGAGAAAAATCGATAACATAGGGACCCCTCTGTTAATTAACAAGCTTTAATCTGTCTTCTTTATGATTTATGAAAGGCGTACTTGTGAAGGGAAATGAGTCATGTAATTAGCAAGCAACTCCTCTTTAATTTGCTGGTCATTAGATTACAGGACAATATAATATAATATAATAATTGAGATAATCTTAAAGGGAAGGCAAGTTGGTGATAGATTATATTTTGTTTTCCTAGTAACTTGTGTTCTATAAGGTTAAGCATATTGACGTTAACTTCTGATGTTCAATCTTTATTACCTTCACATGATGTCTGGTTCGAGTTTTCCTAGCTTCGAAATGGGGAAATTTTTTCTAGGTTTTGCAGGTAACTTGTCCCCCTTTATTATTATTATTATTTACATTTACATTTACTACTGACAGAACTTCTCTTATGAATAATGTGATTTCATTTTGGTAATCAAGTTGTTTGAATGTTCATCCCCAGATTAGGAGGTTCAGGTTCCACCATGCCAAAAAAAAATTATAAATTTAAGAATTAGAAGGAGATTATCACATTCTTTAGAGCATACTTGCAACCTAAAACTCTGACCTCAATTGGATATTGAGTAAAATTTAATTTATCTAAACAAATTAATTCATAACTTAACCTAATCAAACTCGGTCTGTACCTGATAAGGTCAGTTAAAGGGTCACTGTTAAACCCTATATATATATATATATATATATATATATATATATATATATATGTATGTTTCAAATATAGAATGATATGCTTCTACTCTTTTTGTCTTTTCGGGTCATAAACAACTCCGTCTCCAACAACGAGTGATGTACTTCTACTCATTGCAATTTGGCAATCATGCATTGGTTCTATGGAT